CGGCTGGACGCAACCCTACTTCATCACCCTACACGACACATGGGGACTATTCAGAGGGCTGAAAAAAATGAATTATGACTGGTCATCGTGCTTATGACTTTGCACTTAGCCACACCCACCCGGGCACACGACCACCTAGCCACATCCACAGAACCGGTAGTAAAAAAACTGTGACCCCCCCGTGTTCCGCTGGCTTACCTGTGGGGGACGGTTGCTGGCGGATGGCTGAGGGGGAAGGCAGAGCCTGGCAGGTAGATGGCTGCCAGGCCTGGTTGCTCTTCTGGGACCACTGGAGAAAAAAGACCCTTCTTTAGAAAGAGAAACTGACCCCAATTAAAGACATTGATTTTGATGACAGCTTTATATCTCGGGTGGGTTTGAGAGAAGCGTTGGGTCTTTATTTCCAAATATTGGGTGCCAACTGGTATTTCTGGCATCTCAACTCTTCACCCTTGCCTGGAAGTTCAGACTACAGAATAAAAAAGGGAGGTTTCCATCTTCCTCCGTCTCTCTGTCCTGAAACCAGCATTTCATAGGGAAAAAAATCTAGCTGCAGCCTCTGCTGGCATCATTTGTCTTTCCCCTTTTCAACCCTCCTTTTGAGAGCCTGGCAGGTGGGAGGATTGAACAGCTTGCTAACTGTTTTGTGATATTTTAGTCCTCTCAATAAAGTTATTTATACCTTAAATAAGTCTTGATTTCCATTACAGCCATTTTCTCCCAGGACAGAATTAGAGGGGAGAAACTCTTACTCGTGGCAAGTCCATTTGCAACATTAAGAGGCACCGAGGTTCACCAGCTCCAACTTGGAGACTGGACTAATTATGGAATGAAACATCCATTTAAGAAAAAAATGAACAATGCTTAACAAACAATATAAGCCATCCTGGTATATAAGCATACAAATAACACCCACCCATGATGGCTGGGCAGTCCAGATGTAGTAAAAGTAAATAAAGAGGTGGGGACTGCACACATATTTACCACATACCTAAAATACTCCCATATTGTGGTCTATTGCTAATGAAATAAACTATAAAATCCACCCAAATTTCATTGAATTGTGTTTCTCGCCTATGATGGATCTTGCATTTTTTTTCTGATGTAGCATTCAAAGAGGCCTTATCAATCCTCTTTTCGACTGTTCTATTCCCCAGGGTTGAGTCATTGCTATTCTAATGGCTAAAGTTAAGTATTATAATACATATTTTTCTTTTTAATATTATCCTACCTCTATTTAAGAACTTCCTATTTATTTTCATTCTTTTAAGAAAATTTCCCGCCATCATCAAACAGGAATGCTCCTGGGCTCTTTGCAGGGGCTCCTTCAGCACTCAGAATGAGCCCCCTTGGATGAACCAGGGCAGCCCAGGTCACCTTTTATGACACAATGGGCTATGATGTCACAATCCTTGACCCAGCTGTGCAAAGATGCCAGGAGTGCCCCTTTGGCAGCTGTGGACCTCTCAGGAGGAAGGGGTTGCAAGCCAAAAGGGAGACGCCGAGAGTCTCAGGAAAAGTCTGTGGAATAAAACATCAAACATAGAAAATGTGGGGTGTAAAAGATGGAGGGAAGGCCCTGCAATCTCCCAGGAGAACTGAGCACACAGAACATCATTCAAGTGCTAAATGACTTGGGGAGGGAGGAAGAGAGAAGGGGGGGTGTTGGAAGGAAGGAAGGAGGGAGAGAGGGAGGAGAAAACAAACAGAAGGGAAGGGATGCTTAACGGGCTTACTATCTGGGAACCATGCAGACTGCAGGAGTTTGTTGCAGGCACTAGAGATGACCTTTGAATATCTCTCTGCCAAGGTTAAAAGGATCAAGTGGATTTCTCAGCTCCCTCTCAATCCACCATCTCCCCTCCTCCTGCTTTCTATCCTGGATACCCTCGCCCACTCCTGCAATAAAACTGATTCACTTCCCTTTGAGATTTATTTCAGGAGGTGGGACATTGGAGGCAGACGGGGTTGCTGGGAAGGATAGATGCTGTCCAGTCCAGAATTGGAGGAAAGATTGGATTCCAAAGCCTTTTTGGTCCAGAGGTATAAAATAGAACAGAACAGAACAGAATAGAATACCTTTATTGTCATTGCATTCCACGAATACAATGAAATTTGAAAGCTACTCCAGCACAGTGCCCCAAACACCACATCACAATCACACTACAGAGATAATAATAATAATAATAATAATAATAATAATAATAATAATAATAAT